TATATAAAACCCATATAGAAAATTAATATACCCTTTCTTGTTAAATACTTCATGTTGTCTGAAATCACAGCACTTTTATCTTGTGAGTCCAAAAAGGAGAAAGTAGAGAAGTCTTCCACATCAAATGGAACTGCAAAATGTAAAACACAACATGTTAGACTTAAAAAAAGAAAAATCATAACAACAGCCAATCCAAGAAAAGTACTTACCAGATATGGATCTGAAATGTATGTATCTTCTTTCTGCTCCAAGAATAGTGGGGTTTATACGGGAAACTACATTGTGCTGATCCATAAGAAAATCCATTGTATTCATATGATCATTTAACAAACCCTGTAGTAAGAGAAAAAAACTGAATCTGTACTTTTATAGTTTCAAGACAAAGACCAAGTATTTGTACAGTGTTTCAACCGAGCTTAAAGCTTCTATATACACCAAGTTATGGACAACGTCAAGTCAAAAATGTATAAATATCACATAGATAGCATTTCAAAATATCAGATACACATTTTTCAATGAACAACTGCAGTACATTCTCAGTTTCTCGTTGAAACATTCCATACAATTACTATATGCCTAGTTGATCCTTCACTCTTGAATAAATATACTGTTTCAAAACCATGACTGCAAATTTATGTAACAATGTAATTTCAGTTGTGATATTATTAATTTCAAGCCATGTCATTACAAAAAATTTAATAGATAAACACAACTCAAACAATTCACTGCCAAATATTTCATCTTGCATTCATTCAGAAATGTTAAACCTACCATGAACATTGCCTTCTGGAAGAAGCCAGTGGCATCAATAATCCTCTGAAGAATAACTGTCTCTAACTCTGCAGCATCCATCTCTTCTCTGTTAAAGGGCACACCATTAAACAGAGCTTGAGGCAATGGACCAAGGCCACTCTTTCTATAAAAGGTTGCTCCTGCCTGATCATATCAGAAATATCACAGGATTAAATAGACTGTGGCTGACTGTAGCAAAAAATGAAACTAATATCAAGAGAAAATGAACTCTAATCTCCAAGCACTATTCACTGTCATGCCTTCTCATGAGTAGCAGGGACAAAACGGGAAATGTTTGGAAATCAAACAAGATGCATGGGACTCATTTCTCAAATAAAATGACAAAATAAAGTACAGATCTATACATGGTGTTTTAAACTTCTGCTTTATCATCTTGCTGAGAGATATTATTTTATTTTGCTTAACATTCTTAGCAAAAAATATTAAGCAAATAACATTAGAGAAGGACCTTAAGACAATCATAGTTTCAGGTAGATCGACCTAGACCTTTTCCCCAAAGACAGCACCCCAAAAAAACCTCAAAAGGCTTTTATGTTCAGAAGCCAAGCCTTATTTGATAAGAAAGCAGAACAAGCTAATTTTTCCTCGAACAAAGAAAATTCAGTGAGACAAATAGACATAAAAAGGTATTGTAAGTAATTCCCCCCCTCCTATTCTGCATCCTTTCATGGTTTCTTTCAGTGTCACTTTCTGGATGGCTACAAACTCTATGGTAGTATCTATACATCCATTTTTGTGTCGTCCCACTGTCTCCTCCCTGATCTTCATCACAGTTTCATTCCACCTGCTTATACAGGGAGTTTTCTCCTCATGGCCATCTGTCTATTTTTCTTCCTTTAATATTCTTTACGGGAAGCTTTCCTCCCCTAAGCATATCCAGTTGTTTCCAGGGCAGATTCAAACTGCCCTTCTATATGAAGCCTCCAGACAACTCAGTGACGAACAAGCAGCCTAAGGAGAGCAGCACCTTTTTTTTCTTCCTTCCCAGATGCAACTTTTTAAAGGAACATAATATAAGTTATATAACAAATTTCAAAAGGAAATAAATAAAATGGATGGTGTGTGTCAGAAACACAAGATTGTATAGATGGCATGGCTGAAGACACATGAAGGAAACCAGTATTTTTATGTGTGTTTTAGCAGAAAATTGTCTACATAATCAATTATAGATAAAAATAGGTCTTCTCTACAGCCTTTAAATCAAAATCAAATCCATAGCTGTCTCTCCCAAAGGAAATTATAACCAGAAAGCACAATTAAAGGAAACAATGATTTGCCTAGAAGACAGGCTTCAGCTCCTCACCTAGAAGACACAGGCAAACAATTTCTGCAGTACGAGAGAGACCCCTTGACATGCTTACTAGAGAAACACTTGTGCTCCTGAATGCAGCAGGCAATAGTGAGTTTTAATAGTAAGAGTAGTAAAGCAGAAACCCTTTCAACATTTCCACTAATGACTGAATTGTAGCTGAAAAAAAAATTGATTCAGTGATACTGTATTTTCCTGCTTTAACATTTAGCAATCTTTCAGCCTAGCAAATGCAACAAATTGTGTACTGCAATATTTCTTAGCACTTTGCTCTCAACATACCTTCCTCCCTCCATCGTATTCAGAATGAACATCTAGTATACTCTGAACATCAGCATGTGGGTATTCGCTTCTAAGAACATCTTTCACATGATTTACTGTTAGAACACTTCCATCTTTCACTTCATGGTACATCTGTAAAAATTACAACAGAAAGAAATTTTAAAAGTGTAATAAATTGTCAATTATAATTCAATAAAATTAATATAAGTAAATAAACAATAAAGTAGATAACTTTTTATAGTGCTGTAGTAAATTTTATATCAGTATACTTTTATATTGCTTTTATTGCTATATTGCAGTTTTTATATTGCTTTAGTAGTTATCATCATTGCACATATGCACAATTTTTCATCAGAGCACTGTTCTGATTAATCTATTATTATACCTTTAGTCTAAATCTGAAGTGGCAAAGGAAATACACTTATGTGAGCTTAATGTGAAAGGGTATTTCTCTCCACTGATTAAAGACTGAATCTAAGTTCTTACTATAAACTACCTAACCACAGGTAGTTACCTGAATCTATATGGGATGAATCCAAGCCTGAATTAATCAGTGATACTTTTTCCTACAGCAATAATTTTTCCTTACCAACATTATTTAACTACATAGCATAAGATATTATTTCTTTCATCAAATATACAGAAGAAATCTGAAGTGAAAATTACTCAATTCATTCTTTTCAAATGAGGAACAATACATTTCTCTCTATAGCTCTGAATATCTCCAACCTGCATTTTATTGATTCTATTTTTGTTATCTTTTAATTATATTTATCATCTTCTCCTTTTTATATTCTGAAACAAAGTAAATAGAGGAACACAACATTTTAAAAAGCACACTGTAAACTGATATTTTGTGATCTGGTCATGGATAATAGTCACGCATGCGTGTCAGCTCCTAACACTTGTGGATTTCTATTTCTTTTCCAAGGTACTCCTAGTTACTTCCAATTCTTTTCATCTTAAGCTCTCTGAGCTTGTCCATGACGTCAGTTTCTAGACACTGAACACAGTAGCAGAAAACAAAAGTAAGAAAAAATGTTATGTATTAATACCACATTCTCTGATATAATTTTGCCTGCAGAGTCTTCACACAGACTGCTCACTTCATTTCCCTCCATTCACCTCTCGTCTCTGAAATTCCTGTCTTTACATGAACCTGCATTCTCTCACACAGAAAACCTGTCTTATTCATTAAGCTGCAAGCCTGGAATATTTCTGTGTTTTCTACACCCCTGAACAGCTCAAGCATGACCAAAAAAGAACTTATCTTACTCTGTTTCATTTTCTACACTAGAGTACAATCAGGGGTTTTTCAAAGCATACAGGATTGCAAAGTGATATTACAATGCCTGGACTCCAAGAGATACAGAACACAAAGACAGGCAGACGACATTAACACAAATAATACAGAATCATTTTTCACAAGAAAATACTAAGAGCTGTAACACATGCATCTACCTTTTTACATTCTTGAAGAAACCCTGTAGATAGGTAAAACGATAAAGGCACGTTAGTTTCTGGAGGAAAGTATTTCTGCAAATCGTTCTACAGCATATTAATGCTATACATGTTTTTAGTACTTTAATTCCATGCAAAATAAATGCAAATGTATTATGCTGTCACAAGGTAGAAAAATCCTAACTATACACAACAGTAATAAGTAAAATAAAAAAAGTGATTTCTTGTAAAAGAACTAACATTAATTATCGAGGTAAAGGCATGAGAGGTGTCAGATTCTTCTGCAATATAATTAAAAGTTCTCCAAAGAGCTATTCCAGCATCTTCATTTCCATCAATTTCTTCTTTTGTACATAAAATGAAAACCAATCCAATTCTATAAACAAACAAAAAGACATCATACATTTTAAAACAATATCAGTTTCACACACATTCTAATACCAACATAGAAGGACAAGATGTTTGCGTTCAGGTAATCTGTCCAGCATGCTGGGATGAAAAGACCTGTACCTAGTGGTGTTGCCCTGACTGTGTGTGGAGACGCTGAGGATACCAGTTATGCAGTCTTCATCAAATCTCTTAGAATAAGCTTAGGTTACCAACTATGTATGATTTTAGATATGTCTTTTCTACTATTTAAAGCAGACAGTAATTAAGATTTCTGTGAGTCATTAGAATTTACTCACAGCCCTTTCCCTCCTTACCTGTCTGAAGGTTATGACATTCTTTACATTCCTGTCATCATCTCTTAATGGCTTGAGTCTTTGTTTTAGTCTGGGCATTGTGTGTCTTTTATTTTTCCTGAAATGAGTGTCTTGAGTAGCTGCATGTAGACATGCTGGGGTCTTGATGTCCTGTCATCAATACATGCCATTCTTACAAGCCCTTTTCTTGCCACCTTTACCTTCTGGGGCTTCCCCACCCTCACATTGCCATTCATTTTCTATTCACACAAATTTTAACACATCTACTACAATTCCCTATATTTCCATTAAATGAAAAAAGCCGTAGAAATACAAGGCTTGAGAAGAAAAAAGGTCTGGTGAACTCCTAGTGGAGGTGGTATTTTGATACTGTTTCCATTAGAAAAACCTGGATTGACCAGGCCATACTATCTTCAGAGCATAAAGCGTAACAGAGATTTGGTCTCCTACAATAGCAGGGGAAATTCAAACCTCATGGCCACTTGTTTGTCTATACAAAACATTTTGATTAAATTGAGCATCATCATTTACACACACAACTCATGAAGATGTCACTGAAAGGTTTGGCAAGCACTCCAGAAAGCTCAGAAGTCCAAGATATTGATGTGAAGATCCTGTTTCTTCAGGGACCAAAGGCTTTGATCAGTGAGACAATCTGGTCAAACAGACCACAAATAGTGGCACAATGACTAAAACACAAACTCCTTCACAGACTGAAGGCCCAGGTTAAAACTAAAGACATTTGAAGTTATATTCCCTGCTGAGAAGACATAAGGATCCTTCTGGTCTCTACACTACTTGGAAGGAATTCTGATCATTACAGTCAGTTCCATCTTAGCTGGTACAGGAAAAGGACAAGAAAGATCCTTCCGTTGCAGATATTTGGGACTGGCAAATTGACCTGGACCAGAAAACACCAGGCCAGTTTCTGACAGTGAAATTTTTTAAGAGAGTAGAGAAGCTCCATCTTGCACGACATGTCACAAGCAATAGGTAAGGAGAAGCAAGAGTATGAAAATTTCAAAGGAAAAATTTCCAGCCGCAAGTGACAGAGTACATGCATAGCTACAACATACAGATTCCCAAGAGGAGAAATACATGCCTATTCATGAACACAGTTGCCTGCATTAAGAGATGAAGACTAGGAAGGTGGGTTGTGGGATTCACAGGGAGCCTTGCGAGCGACCTTGAACAACATAGCCTTGAAGGAAATAGTCTGAGAAAGCAAGTAATGAAGCAAACGCAGAAAGGGAGCTCAAGATAAAAATGTTTTGAAGCACAGCTGTGAGACTGAAACTAGAAGACGCGTGTCTTGATTAACAGCACCAATTAAAAGCTTAGCCGCGGTGCGTGGACAGCAGGGGTTAACCAATCCATGAACAAACTAGGGCGCGTGGACAGCAGGGGTTAACCAATCCATGAACAAACTAGAGTGCGTGGACAGCTAGTGAATCTATATAAGCACAAACTTGTAAACAATAAAGGTCTTTGGTTTTACCCGCGCCAGAGTCCGTGAATCAATCCCTACAGTGGGTTCTGTCAGTCACTTGGAATTTTGTGAGCGCAAAGTCCTCAGAACCCTTCCAAGGATTTCCAAGTCTTCCACTGTCTGGTATCAATAAATTTTCTTAGAAGAATAGATACCCTCCCCTCCACTTCAACATTAAGCCTGCTTGTATAATGGGAGAGAGGAATGGGAAGAAGATGGCCAAAATCAAGTGTTTTTATGAATCAGGAATGGAGATTTTATGTGAATATGTTGCTGTTGCAGCAGTTCAGAGACCAACTTCACATAGTTTCACAGAACACATCCTTGAATCATCCTGAATATGTGCAGCTAATGTTATTCATACTAGGTCTGCAGCAAAATCCTCTACCATTAGTTGTCACTTCTTCCAAGACAAACCCAAAGGTGCACAAAAAAGCCGCTCCATGAAAAATCCCTACGGAAGCAGCTATTCAACTTTGTTCTCCTCTACCTTTACTTTTTAGCGAATCTACAGGTAGGGTTGTCTCCACCTGCCAAACTGCAACAAAAAACAAAAATAATGTGCTAACAGGCTCACACAATTGCAGCCATCTATGAAATACAGCTGTATAAGCTGCTGCCTATTCCTGACTACGCATATGACAGCAGTGGCTAATGTTCTACGCAGCAGTCAGTTGAAAGCTTGAAAATTATGCCAACTATTAAAAAGCTGTAAACTGTAAGACAGAACAAGGGAATCACAGTCTTTCTAAAGGAGCATCACAGAGACTCAAAGCTGGCTTCCGCTATACAAACCACCATGCATCCTGGAAGTATTTCCACAAACCGTAGAGCTCCATCATAGCTGCTACAAGAACGTGAGACCTACTGATCTCATGATACATGAGAGCTACTACAACAACATGACAATCTGCAGTACTGAGCCCATGTTTCAGAAAACTTTCATACTTACAAGTGATAATTCAATGAGTTGATTTAGGAAGTCAGCTTTTCATTTGGATAGGCACCACATATCAGATATTTTTAAACAATTAAAATGAAATCTGTCATATCAGCATAAAATTGTTTAGACAGACGTTCAGGACATAATCAGGTGTGCATCAGATCAAAGGACAGAGGGAAGGAAGAAATACAGCAAGTTTTCTAAATAATAATTAATGCACAAAGATGCACCGTGTTCTCCCATTTTTCACATCTCTCATTATTTTAAATAACCTTTCTTAAAGTCCTGTGTCATCTAGGTACCACAAGAACAGTCAGCAAAGTAAAATATTATACAACAGTAAAGACCCCATGGTTTATCCACATCTTGACTACTGTGTACCCAGCTGTTGCTCTCATCTCAGAGAAGTTATATTAAAACTAAGAAAGTTCAGAGAATGACAACTCAGACTGCAAAACAACCTTTGGAACAGCTCCCAGGCAAGGAATAAC